ACGCAAGGCCAGACCTTAGCCCAGAAGTGAAATGGATGGCGTTGGTTTTTGAGGCTCTCAGTTTCCCATTCCAGAGCATTCTTGAGCCTGCTCTTCTGGTGCTGGGGAATTCTCATGGAAACGTGCTTTCAGGCCGCTGGCCGAGTCCACGAGGTGTGGATTAGCGCCTCTCCTCTGCTGTCACCACGTCATAGGCGGACGTCCGTCTCACACAGGGCTAGGGCTGCCCCCGGCGGAACCATGGACATTTGCGAGCAGGAAGCAGTCCCTCTCCTTCCCCTGCAGTAGCCTCTCTCGTGTCATCCCCTGAGCCCTTTCCCCAAAGTAGGTGCCAGGAAGGGAGGAGGGAGCTACGTGCCCCCACCCCCATGATGGCCTGTAGGGGACAGCGGGTCAGGAAGGGCACATGTCCTCTGTCGCCTGCCAGCTGTGAGCTGGACAGACGTAGGCACCAGCGGCTGACCTGACTCGGCTGAAGCGACGGGGTGATTGGCTCAGGGAGCCGAATGGCTTCAGGCAGGCTGCTTTCCGTGCCACCAGCACGCCCAAACTCAGCAACGTGAGTCACGGTTTGGTGTCTTCCGCAGCTCTGTGGGTCGGCAGGGCTCTGGGGCAGCCCTCAGTTGGGCCGTCATGCAGCTGCAGTCAGGCGGCCAGGACTGGGCTCACATTGAAGGGTCGATGTGGCTTTCCTCTCTCCTCCCCGGCACCGCCGAGCTCACCCGCATGGTTTCTCTCCAGCCCCGTAGCCTGCACTTATTCCGTGTGGTTAGAGGCCTGAGAGGTGGAGAGCAGAGGCTGCTGCACGGAACTTGGCCTCTGTCACTTCTTTTTTTTTTTCTTTTTCTTTTTTGCTGAGCCATCCTGCCACCTGTTGTCAACTCAGCTCAGGCTGGGACTTGAACCCCTGTTGCTCAGAGCTCACACTCTTGAGTGAGCTCTTAACCAACTGAGCCACTTGGCCGGCCCTCTGTCACTTCTGCTGTCACCTCTTGGTCAAGTCAGGCAGAGGGCAGGTGGAGAGACTGGCTCTGAGTCTGGCTGGAGAGCGGCAAGGTCACGACACGAGGGCAGTTAGGATGGGAGATACTGTGTCTGTCTTTGAAAATTACAGCCTGCCACAAGCTGGGTCCAGGTACCCCAACAATGCTGTCAGAAATCTGTATCTCTCCATCGCTCTGGCTCTGTCCTCACGGCTTTGCAGGTGGGAAGCAGTGTCCGCCCAGAAGCACCAGGCTACCATCCCCGGGCCAGTCACTGCGACTCCGACGGCCCAGCCAAGTTAGTGTGTGGTCTGCCCCACCCACCCATGAGGAAACGCGAGTGGGAAGGATGGCTGCCCCAGGGGACACGGCGGCGCTGCGCCCGGGTGAGGGCAGGCAGACGCCCGGCCAGGACAACCCCTGCAGGGCCTGCCCTCCCTGCTTGCGTCCATTTACGATCACAAACATATAGGATGTGATGCTGAGCCCATGGGCCTGGGAAGAGCTGCTCCTGTCCCGGGAAAGGTCCCCTGCCCAGCCCTGCCAGCTGCCCCTGCCCTGCCCACCGCAGAGACACAACAAGGACAGTCCTGCACCCAGACTTCCTCGCCTGGCCCAGGTGCTCAGGGTGCACTTCCCCCCTGGAATTCCTGGGGATCCATTTTGTCTGATTCAGGGAGTGAGCCCTCTCCCCACCACCTCCCCCAAAAACCCTGTCAGCAAGGGAAGGTTACAGCACAGCGAGAACAATTGCAGGCTCCGGAGCCAGGCTGCCTGGCTCTCATCTGACTCCCACCAGCTGTGTGGCCTTGGACAAGTCACATTCCCTCTCTGTGCTTCCATTTTGTCCCCTGTCAAATAAGGACCATAATAACACCCATGTCTTCTTGGGGCTATTGGGAGGATTCATTCTTAGAACAGTCAAACTTGCTTACGGAGAGGCCCCATTAAATGCTGCTGATCACACTTTTTAAAAATAAACTGTTCTTTATATAATAAGGAAATTCATTTCTTGTCTGTTAAATGTATTACAAATATCTCCCTTCCTCCCCCGGATTGTCATCTGTTTTTTGACTTTGCTATGGTAATTTTTTTTGCCTTGCAGAATTTTGTAATATTTATGCGCTCAAATTTATCCATCTTTTCTTGTGACATCTGGATATTTTTTTCTTTCCTTTTTTTGTCTTGTTGAGAAAGGCCTTTCCTCACTGTATTTTTTGGATGGATTAGGGTCATAAAAAGAAAAAATATCGAGTCAGTTTGTTGACCAATCGCACTGTAAGTCTCTCCTCAGATTTTTCCTTCTTTGTATTAATGACCCCAGCGTCTGAAGCGAACTCCCTGAAAATGCTAATATGGAAAGCTCCTTGTGAATCAGTGAAGACTCTGTGAAGATGTAAATTGACGTTTAAATAGAAGCTGTTCCCCAGATGGAAGCAATTATTTTGCAGGTGGAATTACTCCAAAAAATGAAAAGCTTGGCTTAGGCACTGTTTTTTGCCTTCATTTTCCCCTCTCCTAACACTAAGTTCAATGCTTTATTTTTATTTTTCTTCCTGGACAGAAAGACATTTGGCCAAGACAGGATTGAATGAAAGGAATTTTTAAACGCAGCAAAGTGTTTGGAAAAAAAATCGACTTCCACGAATCCTACTGGGAGTTCGTTTCATAACCGAAATTTCACAATGTGCTGTGTTCATTTCCCTGTGAAATTGGTTTGTTTCTGGGGAGCGGCCCGGCAGGAGGCTCGGAGTGTTATTCGGACTCAGTGTCACCACAGGGCAAGGCCCCCAGAAGTGGTCGGAGGACCCCGCCGGGAGTCCCCGACAGCCACCTGTGCAGGGAGCCAGCTCAGGAGAGGGCGAGGTCCTGGGACAGCGCAGCTGCCCTCTGAGTGACCTTCCAAAGTCCCACCCTTCTGCTGTGGTGACCCACACCACAGGGCACGTTTGAGAGCTTTTCACTTTCTTCATATGCCGTGGGACTTGGGGCTCTGCTCTGAGCCTCTCCGAGATCAAGTAAAGCCCAGGCCACCTCCTTTTTTTTTTTTTTTTTGAGGTTCCTCTTATATATAAAAAGAATGGAGAAATTCCAAACCAGGGTTATAAAATTATGTATGTTTTACATGCTTATATTAATTACAATGGGGCTTTGAACCCACGAAAATATAATGCAATATAATTGTCACAATTATATTGTCACAAGACACTGAACAACTTGTACCAAATATGTTGATTCATAAGGCATGACAAAACGGTCGGTAACAGGACCCAAGTTTATAATTGATGACAAATGTCTTCTTTTAGTTCAGGGACTCTCTAAGACTTTGTCCGTAATCTCATTCGAAGATAACGTCCAAAGTCTAAATTTGGTGCCATTTGTATGAATCAGGCCCTGGGCAAATGGCCCTCACTTCTCTCTACCCACCCCATCCCGGGCCTGTGTTGACCAGTTCTGGGCACCGTCCACCCCCGGCATCACGAAGCGCTGTGCCCAAGGGCCTAAGGGACGGGAAGGGGGGAGGCAGCTGGATTTATTTCCAACTTTTTCCAGCTTTCACACACTGAGTGCAGGCAGGTTGCTAGCTTACCATGCGCACACACATACACACCCGCACACACGCACACACGCATGCGCACACACCCCCCCACGCGCCCCCCACATGCACGCGCACGCGCGCACGCACGCATGCGCACACACATACACACACACACACATGCGCACATACACACGCGCGCGCGCACACACATGCGCATACATACACATGCGCGCGCGCATACACGCACGCGCACATGCGCACACACATACGCGCGCGCGCGCACACACACACACACACACACACACACACATACACACTTCACTCATGTGGAAAGAAAGGGTAAATGTCACGGGCGTCAGAGAAGCGGAACAGACTCAATCAGAGCTCCGAAAGGAAGCGACAGGCCGCCTAAGGTCCAACCAACCGTCCAGCCAGGTCTGGCCGTTGCCTCCCCTCCCCGAGTTTCCCGGCCCTCAGGCCGCACGGTGACCTTGGGCCAGGTCTTCACCCTCAGGAGCTGGACTCGCTCCCGCGGCCTCAAGTGCTTCCAGCGAAGGAGACACATGAGCCGCGGGCGGCCATTCAGCCCCGGTGGATGGAGCACCACCGTGGCCCGTGCCCGGCCACCTCAGGGCTCGGGCGTCTGGAAAGGCGCTTTACCTGCCAGGCCTCCGTGCACCCCACTCTGTCCCTGTGGTGGGAGTGAGGAGTCACAGCCGCCAAGCCCTTCAGCGTGGGCCCCCCTGTGACTGGACGCTTCTGCTGGGAAGTGCCCCGAGGGCGCCTGGTCTGAGGGCACGAAGCTCTGGCCTCCAGTTCTGTCTGGAAGATGAAAAGCTGAGGGAAAGCTTAGGACCCAGCGGGTAACAGCAGCAGAGATGGTTTACATAGTTTGTGCCAGTTGAGGATACGATGCTGTGCAGACATAACAATGACAACGACGTAAAACGTGTATTCACGGACCCAGCGGGGAGCTCAGTGATGCTGTAAGTTTCTAAAACGTGGTTTACCAAGCAGAGTGCCTGCGCTGTTCTTTCTTTGTAATAAATATCGTGGACCACGAAGCCTCTGGACCAACGGGAATAAAAACAGAATGGTGTCGGTTATTGAAAATGAGGGTTCTGGGGTCAGACGGCTCGAGGCTGACCTGAATCTTAGTCACGAGTTCAGTGACCTCGGGCAAGCTGGCCTCTGCTTCTTCACCTGCATAATGGGGATGATAACAGGGTCTTCGTGACATGCACGAGGAGCTGGTTTGTTTCAAACGCTTCGAAAAGTGCTTGGCACTTAGTGAGCTCTTAAACACTACCTATTCTTTTTGTCTGTATTTTCTGAATTGAATATACATCATCTCTAGAATGAGAAAAAAACCTGCTGTTTCAAATTAAAAAGAGCAGAGAGAATGACCTGCTTCTGAAAAGTGCGGTCCCTTCTGCTTGTCACCGGTACTGACCCAACGACGCCTTTCCTTTCCTCAGGGGTCACCTTTTCTTTTTTCTGGAAGACACACGGAGAGCAGTCCAGACCGACACCCTCTGCTTATGGGGGACAGGTCATTTCCGATGGATTCAAAGTGTGCTCCAGCGGCGGCAAGGGCTCCGTGGAGCTGTACACACGGGACAACTCCATGAGGTGGCAGGCCAGCTTCAGCCCACCAGGTAAGGGCGCCCTCAGCCCCCGGGGCCGCAGGGAGGGGCTGGAGGAGGCAGATCCTTCCGCTGACCTGTCGGGGAGCTGGTGAAGCCAACAGCACAAGGAGCTCAGGGCCCTTTGCCTCCTGGCACGGGAGCCCCTTTCCTGAGTTAGGGAGCTGCCTGAGGAGCCTTCCTGGGGCGGAGGGCGAGGGGGCATCCTCTGCTGAGATGCCTGTAGGTGACTCAGAGGTGTGGCCAGGCGCCTGGGGTCTGTGACCGTGAGCGGACGGTGTGGCTGCACCAGGCCACTTTATGCTCTGAGCCTGTTTCTGCACCTGTGGTGAAGATATTAACAGCATCACCGCGCAGTCTCGGGGACATTCCATGCACCTTGCATGCAAGCGCTTACAATACTGGTAATGGCCTCTCCCCCTCCCCACCACCTCCTCCTGTCCCCTACCCCCTTCTCTGTACTGCTACAGACTTCGCAGTGTTTACAAATGATGTGGAAGAACTTTGGGGAAAGAGAGGCTGAAGAAGAGGGGAGAGGAGGGGTGGCTGGGGAGAGGGTGTGGCGCCTGGCAGGAGGCAGGACACAGGGGGAGCCCTGGGTCAGGTGGGGGGCAGCGCCGGCAAGCACAGGTGTGGCCTGTTCCAGGTGGGTGGAGAGGCTGCGTGGTTCCAGGGTGAGGTCAGGGCAGTGGGCAGGGGGCTGAGAGGCTGGAGGTCTGACATGGGAGCTGGAGAAGATGGACAGACAGGGGACTCAGAGGTGTTTCGGGGTAGCAGGGGGCGGGGCGCAAAGAAGGGAAGCTTGGAGGTTGGGGGGGGGCAGGATGAGGGCCGAGAAAGGTTTCCTCTGGTAGGAAGGGACATCTTTGAGATATTTAAGGAAAATTCATTTCCTGGCCCATTTAAAGGATGCTGTGTGTCTCAGTTAGAAAACATGGGGTCGGGGGCCCAGTGGCCTGGATCGGAGGCCTCGCTGTACCGCGCTAGCTGTGTGGACCGGGTGCCTTACTCTCCCACTTGTGCCTCGGTTTCCTCATCCGCAGCATGAGCCTAATGACGGCATGACGTCACAGGGTGACTGAGAATTTAGGGACTTACTACACGTGAGAGCCCAGAATAACAGGACGCAGTGAGCGCTGTCCTGTGGGTGCTGTGTGCTCAGGCCGGGCTCCACCGCCCTAAAAGAGGAGAGCCCAGCAGACACAGAGTTTGAGAGAACCTTGCACAGTTGTCCCCCCTGACCCCCACGGCCAGAAGCGACCTTTCCCCCCCGCCCCCTCACACTGCTGCCCTGGCCCATGGCCCTTGTCATGCTCTAGCTGTGATCAGCATCTGATGTAAGCGTCTCAGTGCCGTGCCCCAGGGGCTGACACAGCACCAGGCACCCAGTAGGCTCTTGAACGCGTTTTAAGGTAAACTCAGCTGAGCTCCGACTGTTTTCCACCCTGGGGAGTGGGGAAGACAGAGATGTTTTTGCAGCAACATGTTCTTTGTTCACTGGACGGATTCGTTATTCTTGCTTCAGACTCAAGGGCAGTGATACTTCGGGGCCTATTTAATGGGTTCCGCGAGCTCTCCAGAGGCTCAGAGTTAGAAAGTTGCAGGATCCTGGCCAAAAGCCCTGATGTAGCTGCCAGGTGAGCCAAGATGATGCCCGGCTCAAGGAGGTTTGTGTCCCAGGAAGGGCTGCCCAGGTCGTCCCAGCGAGGACGTTTGAACACAAGATGTGCAGAGTGAGGTGGGGCCCTTTGTGGGGCAAAGTCTGATGAATGTCCCTCTGGTTGGTGAACACGGTTCTCAGGCCGGGGAGACGAGTGACCACATGAGCTCAGTGATGGAGGCTCCTGACTGAGCCGTGACAGTGGACCCGCCTGCCACGGTGCCACCATGTTGCTCCTGTCACACGTCCTATGTCCGAGCACATGTTGGTACCAGTGGCCTGTGGCTGGATCAGGCTCTCAGTTTTACTGGCCTGCACTGTGATGGTCCAGACAAGGTTTCAAACATGTTTTGAATAAGTCATGACTATTGGCTATTATTTCATCTTAATTTAAAATAGCCAAGAGTCTAATTTAAAACAGCAAAGGGTCTCTTTGAACTGCCTTTAGAATGTTGGGGTGGTGTAGTTACTTTCGAAGAGCTATATTCTAACCCATGTCAGGACTCACCAAAGGTGACAGTGACCAGTCATCTTAAGAAATAGGGTTGTGCTGAGAGAGTAGGAAAAGAAACCCCCCGGGGCGTTCGTTCGCGCGTCTCAGAACGGCCATCTCTGTCCTTCCAGGTCCCTACTGGACTCACGTCCTGTTTACGTGGAAATCCAAGGAGGGCCTGAAAGTCTACGTGAACGGGACCCTCAGCACTTCGGACCCCAACGGGAAAGTGTCTCATACCTACGGGGAGCCCAACGTCAACCTCGTGATAGGGTCTGAGCAGGACCAGAGCAAACGCTACGAGAGCAGAGCTTTCGACGAGTTCATCGTCTGGGAACGGGCCCTGACCCCGGACGAGATCACCATGTACTTCATGGCGGCCATCGGTCAGTGAGAGGGTGAGGGCGGGCCAGGCCTGGCTCTGCTCCTAGGGGCCCCTTCGCACCCCCTCCCCTTGCCAGCCTTTGTCTCCTCCCCACTCTCCTGACACAGCGGTCAGCCCCGCGGGCATGACATGCATCCTCCTGAACCCCGTAAATGCAGTGGCTTTTCATAGACTATCTGCTCCCTTGGGTAGAAGTAATGATTTATTTCCTGAGATAAACACTCTCCTGACATCAGGGGGTTTTTGAGGTCTGTGTGATGGATGGCTGTAGAGAGCTTTGGGTAGCAAATGTTCGGGGTCCAATGGGGGCATTTGATCAACAAATGTTCCCCGTGTGCCAGACTCACTGGAGGGCCTTCTGGGGGCTCCAGGGCCGCCCCTCCCTGCTTAGCACAGGGTGGTCATTCAGACCAGGGACCTGTGAGGCAGGTGGGCCTGGGTTCGAGTCTTCACTCAGACAGCAGGAGCTGTGGGACCTGGGAAGTCATGTTTTGGTTTTTCTTTTCATTGAGGTAAAACGCATATGACATGAATCCACCCACTTTACAGTGTAGCGTCCGGTGGCACCGACTGTGTTCACATGTGTGCATCTGTCACCTCTAGTTTCAAAATGTTCTCATCACCCCGAAGGGAACCCAGCGCTGTGAGCGCCCGCTCTCCGCCCCCTACCCCGGAATCACTGTTTACTGTCCGTCTCTGGATTTCCCTATTTTGGACACCCTCTGTAAATGGAATCCCGGAACATATGACCTTTGTGTCTTGAGTTCTGCAAACCACAGCTTTCTGTTCTGTGAAGTGATGAAAATAATGCTCTTTCTCTGCCGGGGGCTGTGAAGACGAACCATGAGAAGGCTGTGAGGCCGTTTGCACGCTGCCCACTCAGGCAGGCTTCCAGTCCATGCCGAATGCTGCTAAAGTTAGTACTGTTTGTGCCCCACGTTCATCTTCATTCACAAGTGAATGCACAGTTTCTTTTACATGAAATAATCTGCCCAAACACGACAGCCACTGAGTGGCAGGTCCTGCACCTTTCTCGGTTGGCTGCTGCACTGACAGCCCCAGCAGCGGGGGTTCAAGACCAGGGTGAGAGGCCCGGCCTGCACGTCCCCAGGCTGACATGGAGCCCCCACCTATTAGGAGCCTACTGCCTGGGTGATGGGAAACCCAACGAAAACGATGTGAGCCAAGAAGAGAATTTTTAATCTCATGTAATGGAAACAACAGGGGGACGTTGGCTTCAAAACTGGTTTAATCCAGTTGCCCAAATGATGTCCCCAGGAACCTCCGTTTTGGAACCTGCTTGCTTTCTTGTGGTGCCAAGATAGCTGCCATTCCCTCCAGGGTCACATCCTCATGCTCTAGCGACCTCAGCAGAAAGCAAAGAGCTTCTCCCTTCTGTCATGTCCTACAACGGTGTTGGCCGTGACTCGTGTCTGTCCTAACAAGGCCTTGTGCTCCCAGGTGCAGTGACTGGCTGGGGTGTGGAGTACGTGATGCCCGAAGCCTGGGTCACCGTCTACCCTGATGTGGCAGGGGGTCAGCCTCGTTCGAGATGCACAGAGGATGCGCGGGATGCTAGTCTCAGATGCAGGAATGGGGATGGGCATGGGGGTGGGGGACAGCCTCTGTGCACATGAAACCAGCCCATGTCCAGGGCAGTGTCTGACCTTCCATCTTTCACCAAGAAAATGAAATTCATTCCCTTTCACAGAAGTGACATAGGACAAAATAGCGTGTCCTTCAGAAGGAAAAACAATATCAATCTACTGCATTGTATTGCCCAGAAGTCAGACATTTGTCACTCTGAGATGACCAAGATGGCGTTGTGTTTTGGAAAGCCTCAAATGAGTCCTGCCTTTCTGATAGTTTGCTACTTTGGTGTCGCTATTTCTGGTTCCCGTAGCTGTTGTAGTGGGCTTTGTCACCAGGACATCTCTGGGCTTAGGGACCCCACATGGGGCAGCATTTCAGGAGGGCTCTGCTACTGACAGGTGTGTGCAGTTCACCTGGCCCTCTGCACCCAGGAGAAGACGTCCGGGTCTCCAGGGGGTCAAAGACAGGTGCAGCGTCCAAGGAAGCACATGCCCTGCACCTTTGTGGAGTCAGAACTGGACACATGGGAAGTCCATGTCACTTGGGGGTCTGGTTCTGGTGTAAAGCACGTGTAGAAAAAGTGACTGGGAAGTCCCTAGAAAGGCCCTGGGTGGGACTCCCCATACCATTGCTCAGCCAGCCAGCAGAGCCAGGGAGGGTGCTGTGCTCAGACAGACAGCTGGGGCTGACAGCCAGCCTGCATCAGGCCAGACCAGGGCCCCGGTGGGGCTGTGTCCACAGGGGCAGGAGAACCTGTTCTTTGCTTAAGGACCTGAAGCTGGGGCTGCCGGTGACCTGTCCAGAGTGGGCACCCTCTCCTAATCCATTGGCTAGCATAGGCCCCTTTTCTGAGGACCTGTCCAGATGGGGTGACCTTTTCTAATTCATACCAAGGCAGAGTGTGGACCATCGAGCACCTGCCCGGCTTTGCACTGCAGTGGTGGCCACACCTCAGAGAACCAGAGGAGGTAGAAGACTGTGCTCGGACCCTGGAAACAGACTCGGCCCAACCACATGCTCACATATGAGTCCCTGGGGACTGAGATGGCCCGAGGACAGGGCACATTCTCATTTCTCATCTTTCTCATGTGGTCATCAGTCTCGTGGTGGGCAGGATCTCTGGACACATTCATGGTCCTTGACTTTATTGTGTGGACTCGCATGAGTTAAACGTGAGATTGACGTGACTCCTCTGTAAGTCCTTGGCACTTGCAGGATGGACATCGCTCGGACTTGGAGAACAGTCTTTTGGGCTCTCCCAGCAGTGTCACACCTTCATCGTCCAGCAGCTACACAGCCCTGCCCCACCCCAAGGGGTCAGTTCCTGGAGCCAGCTAGGAGGATGAAGTCATCTCCCAGGTCACCCACAGCAACCTTGAGGAATTTCCCCAAAATGAGGGAGAGTATCAGTTAAGTCTGCGTTCTCATCAGGGAACACTAAGAAACAGTTGGTGGCCAATAGGCAGAGAACAGCTCGTCACGGCTGAATCTCCAGTCTCGGGTGTGTTCACCCTCATCATTACTCACAATTAACCAAATTACCCATAATTAGCTATTTGTAATTATTCACAATTAGCCAAATCAAGCCTTGAATGGGAAGAATTACTGGAATCCACAGTGAGTAAAGCTCAGGAGGGCCGTCCCCCCATTGCTTTTGGGGGTCTTGCTTCATCTGTCTGACGGATGAGTTGTCCGGCCCAGTGGTCACTCTGTCACTTATCTCTGAATAGTCCAGACGCCACTGAAGAAGTTAATTTCTTTTGGTTCTTTATTTCTTTGAAATCGGTGAAAGCTTGCGTAACGTCATCTTTTCATGTGGTGATTTGTGTGATTTGTGAAGGGTGTTCAGAAGCAACTGAGAATACAAATGGAAACTTAATTAACCTGGGAAATTCATACAACCCATCCATTAAGCAGGTTTGTTAGCCCCTCATCTTTCCAGAAACATCCCTGCCCAGGACACCCCCAGGCTCCCCAACTTGTGTCTGAAGCTGGTCAGTTTTTGAACAAGGATGGAACTTCCTCAGGGCGACAGAGGTGTCCCTGTGTCAGTCCTTCATTGATCATTGTCAGTTTTTTTCCTTCCAGGAAAGCATGTTGCGGTGTCTTCTCCACCTCCGAGCTCCTTCACGACGCCTGCAGCCAACACCCTGGTGAGCAGACGACGTGTCCTTTGCCTGCTGGTGGTGTTGTCTTTGTGCCTGGACTCTGTGCCAGGACTGTTAAAACTCCAGTAGACAGTCTGGCTGTCACTTACGGGCAGTGTCATGTCTGGAAGTCATACAAAATGGAGGAGGAGCTAACGTTGGTACTGAGCCTTGAGACCAAGAGCGGCTGATGAGGAAACTCTTGCTTCTGGTGGCCGGTGGCCTAATGAGCACTGAGGTGGCTCCTGGGGCAGGTGGCACGGTGGGCGGACAGCAAGGAGGACCCAGCCTCGGCCCTCGGCTTCCCTCTGTGCCCCCCGCTTCCCCTCTTGAGGAAGGGATCCATCTTACAGAAAACGTTCCTCTCTGGGATTTGTGTTTTTCACCCAACAACTTCCCTTCTTTGAGAGAAGTAATCTAAGAGCGAGCGCACAGACACTTGAACCATCTGCTTGGGTTCAAACCCCAGTCCTGCCCCTCGTTTCTGCCATGTCTCCCTGGGCCTTGCTTCATCAATCACATGGGTGCATATTCCATGAGGTTGTCGGGAGGGTGACATGTGAATGCGTGTCACATGTCTACAGGGTGCCTGGTATGTAGCAGGTGCTGTTAGCGGTGTAATTCTGGGGTAAGAAGCAGGCCAGCCATTGAACTCGGATAGCGTGTCTTGACTTTAGCTCTTAGCAGGAACTCACACCGCTGATTTTTGTTTAGATGCCCACCGATGCCTACTATCCCATCATAACCAACTTGACAGAAGAGAGAAAAAACTTCCAGAGTCCTGGAATTGTCCTGAATTACCTTCAAAACGTGTCCCTCAGCTTACCCAACAAGTCCCTGTCACAGGAAACGGCACGGGCTCTCGCTGAGGTAAAGCTCTTGGGTGTCTGTGCCTGGTGGCTTGGGGACGGCTGCCAGAGCATGGCTGACTGGCGTGTCTCATCTGACCCACATGGAGTTAAAAAAAAAATTAGGAACTTTTGTGTAAAATCTGGCCTGTTGGGAACAAGCAGACCGAGTGGCCACTGCAGCTGCGCTAACGGCTCAGCAGGGTCCCCTTCCAAGGAGATGCTGCTCTTCACTTGGCTTCCCTGCCTGCCAGCCTGGCCCGTCTCTGCAGCCACCTGGCCCTTAATTCTTGCCGGTTTCCTTGCTGAAGACACACCCACAGAAGCACATGGAAAAGCACGTGTGCGGTAAAGCAGGACATCCTGCCCAGGTGACGGGAGCCAGCTAGACCTCTCGGTTTCACTCACTCGTGCAGAGGACATACTGGGCTCCCGAGATCCAGGGTGACCAGGAACCACTTCCTGCTCCCAAGAGGCTCAGGGTCGAGAGGATGAGATGGACCCTTCGGTCTGAAAAGGGCTGTTGCAGGATGTTCTGAGCTGTGGGGGCTCAGACAAGCCCGGCTGGGCCCCCAGCTCAGTGTCCTGGGGCGAGTATTTCAAACTGGCGAGCCTCAGTGTCACCGTCTGTGATGGGGTAATTCAATCACCCACCTGTCTCTCTGTTATCGTAGTTGATAGAGGGGAAAACTGGAGGTCTTACCATTTTGAGGCTTGAGAATACATTCTAAGCAGTGTCATTCTGTCTCCTTTTAGACCTTCTTAAAAACCATGGGAGAGGTCCTTCTACTGCCCAGTTGGACTGCTGTGTCACAGGTAAGAAAAAAGAACATTTTGATCTTCAAAACGTATGCACCTGGGGCGCCATTCTGCCTTCCTAGTAGAGGCATAAATATGGCCCCGTTTGCATCCCTAAGAACGGCATCTCTCAAGCCTGACGTCTGGGATGTTAGCGCTCATTCTGTCTGCATCCCAGCTGATTTGAAATGCCACATCTTCCGTGTAGCTCAGGAGCTATGCGAGCATCAGTGACACGTCACTGTCCTCAGTGCTGAGCTGGGCAGTGGCTGCGTTTTTTCACGAGGAACACACGCTGGGGTGACCTTCATTTATCATTTTAATAACGTATTTGTTTTTACCATCACATTGTCCTTGAATGGCAATAAAAATATGTTTGATGTTTACAGATCACTAGATTAAGTGGAAAACGTAAGAACGTGGGACACATATACTTCATGATTATAACCGTGAAAAACAAAAAAGCCCTCTCTTTTTCTCTGCACTCCGAGCAATTAGAAAGGAGAGGGGACTAAGCTTTCTTTTCTTTTTAAAAAATAACTTTATTGGTTTTACTTCTTTAAAAAATGAAACAAGGGACTACGCTGTGCAGAAGTTGGAAAAATGTAGATCATAAAAAAATATACACAGTAAAAGTCAGCCGAAATCCTAAGACTGAGAAGTAATGGCTGTTAACACCCTTGTATAGAGATCTCTTACCACCTAGCTTTTAATTCGCTTATAGGCATGCTTATTTTACAAATAGACGATATCTAATTTAACCTGTTTTTCTTTAATGAAGTCAGGAACATTTCCCAACGATACTAAGTACCCTGCAGTGCTGTTTTACCTCAGTCAGGCTCCACTCGGCTGGGCTGCAGTAACAAGCGGACCCTGCATCTCCATGGCTTAGCACAGCGGATAGTCACTTCTCACTCGTGCAAAGCCCCAGTGGGTCAGAGGAGCTTCTTCTCAACCCGGTGAACGGGAACCCCGGCTCTGTCCGTCTTCTGACGCTTCCATCTCAGCACTGACTCCCAAGGTTGCCCGCAGGGGTGGAGAAGGCTGAGGAGGCCTTGTAACGGCCTCGCCTAGAATGGCCGTGGCCCACCAGTGTGATATCAAAGTGCTCATTCTCCTGACCCTCAATAGCATTTAAAAAATATGTTCCCATTAGAGGCAGACGGGACATCCTGTTCTCTCATTATAAATGAGCTCGCCCAAGGGTTTACATTTGATTAATTTTTATTTGAACAGTTTCAACTGTAATGAGATTGGATTTAATGCTAGCAAAGGGAGAAAAAAAGCGGTCATGCATTTAAGAAGGACATAATCTTACCTAGAAACAAATTCATTTTTAAAGGCACAATCCTCCAGGGTTCATGATTTCCAGGCAGGGGGAGGGTGCTGGACCGAGGCCTGGGGAACCCTTGAGGACGGCCGGTGGAGGTCCCATGCAGACATATTAAATTAAATTTTTCTGAATGCTCTTCCACAAAGTATGAATAATCACGAAACGATTCAGATTTCGGTAGGCTCTAAACCACGTGGAAACTGAGGTATGGACTAGCCGCTGCGTGCCGGAATCAGGCGGTCACAGGCTTACCTGTGCTCAGCTGATTGAAACCAGGCTACGGGCCTGAAAGAAAATGTCTAAAATTGGCCTCAGGGTACTCTTCCCCGCTGATTAGATTCTCACGGAGCTGGCATTTGTGAGAGAAAGCCAAGGACACTCAGCAGCAGACAGATGCTTTTTCAGAAAGGCAGGAGGAGGGAAGGGGTGTGACGGGGAGATTAACAGCCGCTGGCCTCTCCCTGATAGACGTGTGCCTGACGCTGAGGGACAGTCAGCCTGAGTGAACACATGGGCCCTGAGCTCTGCGCCCTGGGAGGGGAAGGAGGCCAGAGACAATTTTGGGTGTTGACACCTCCAAAGCCTCTTGTCCTGTCAGAGAAGAGGACAAAACTGCTGGTGTCCTTGTGCCAGAGGTGACTTGAAGTGACGAGCCCCCTCCTTGTGGGAGGGGTTGGGATGGGGTGGGGGCACCACAGAGAATTGCCGAGGTCCCTCGGTGCGTTCGGAGCAGAGCTATGACCTGTGTGTGGGCACAGGAGCCTGGGTGACCAGGGTCCACTTCCGGGAGCTTGGCTGGCCTGGGTGGCCTCAGCAGTCACCCCATGTCTGTGAAATGGGGTAGTGGTGGCACTCTCCCGCTCCCCCTCACCTGGCCCTGTGAGGACAGAGCGCGGCCCGCCATGACGCCGCAGACGCTGGGAGTCCTTCCTTTGGGCGGGCGTCCGCAGCGCGAGCACGAACTTGTTGTGTGTCTGGCGCACCCATCCCGCGTGGTTGCTAAGCAAGGCCCGTCTTCAAGCCCCCTCCTGTCGTGCTGTTTTCAGGACAACGCCGTGGTGCTGAGCTTGATAGAGACCGTGGACGTCGTCATGAACCACATCTCCTCCAACCTGCACCCCAACGAGCCCCAGGTCACCATCGTGGGCTCCTCCTCCTTGGCAGGTACTTGGCAGGTCGGCGGTGAGGACAGGTGGTGCAGGCAGAGACACGTAAGGGGCGGCTTGCCTGTGGACTGTGCCCCGTTCGACCCGGGCTCTGTCACATGCGCACACACACAGACACACGTGGTGCCTCACACACCACGGGCACGGATAACCCGCTCTGGGGTCCCAGGCTCTGTTGTCTTTTGGGAAATTACACGCAGGGGGAGACACGGTGAGATCAGGGCAGATGTGTCTGACTATGATGTGCGCATGGGACCACGTAGCATTTGACGGTGACTCGGGGGCCAGAGTTGTGTCGCGTGACCATCGTCTCAGCTCAGAACGGGAGTCGAGCAGCAGCGGCTACTTTTAGTGCCTGTGGGATGAAAGGTGCAACGCCAGCTGGAGGCTTGGCCTGAATCTGCTTTTCTGGGACCGCTGTCACACAGGGTAACACCAGCAGACGGCAGGCCCTTCTGCTTAAGTCTGTGGGGGACCGTGGTGCTGCTGAGGCTGTGTCACTAGAGCCGATTCTGGAAATAAGCTAACTGACCGCGTGGGTTAGTGTCAGTGGGGCCTGCTGGCCCAGAGAATTGTCTCCAGGCAGTGACATTTGCCTGACGTCTAAAACGCAAGTGTCCCCGGTGTCTCCATTTGCTGTGTCTCCAGGTCCCCCAGAGCTTGGCGAGGGGTAGCCCCTCCACCCAGGGATCTCATTGCATGACTGAACACATTTGGTGCTGAGAACTGGAGGGCTGCCCGTGGGAAAGAGGGGTCTCCTCAGGCCAAGAGACCCCCCCCAAAGGGTGTGGCCAGATGGACACGTTAGCCACGTGGGCGCAATTACTCCCCTGGCCTTTCATTATTTCAGGTCCTCATTTTCTGAAGGTAATTACACTCCCCAGGGGAGTCTGTTCTGCTAAAAACAGCGAACGCAGACGGGTTTGCAGCCCGACTTCCTGCCTGGCACGCACTGACTGGCTGCTCTCTCTGGCTTGCTCTCAGAGTTCTCGGTGGCCAAGCTCCTGCCTGACGCCACCAACTCCTCCCACTATCGCTTCCCGGCCCAGGGACACAGCTACATCGAGATTCCTCACGAGGCCTTCCACAGCCAAGGTGAGTGCGCCCGAGCCCTCTGGGGAGGGACGCAGCCATGGCTCTTCCTCAGGGGCCCTCAGCCCTTGGAGGTTGTGAGCGGGCACCTGGCCGAGGCGCTGCCCATGGGCCTCACCTGCGCCTGTGGGAGCGGCTCTGTCCTCGGAACACCAAGTGCATCATGGGAAGCTCCTGAGATGTTCACCTATAAGCTGACTCCAAGCCCACTCCAGCCTAACGAACCAGAACTGGGGTGCAGGCTGGGAACCTTGTTTCACACAACTCCTCTGGGTGACTGGTCCACCGAGGACACCATCTGTCCTCCCATGTCTGCAAAGCTCCCCTTTGGCCAAACATGCACAGCTGTGGCCCGCTCAGGGTGGCTTCAGGCTTGCGTGTCTGTGCAGGGGCCCCGGGTTCTCCTCCCGTGGAGGCCAGACGAGCAGCTGAGGGGACCCCGATTACTGTCCCTGACTCTGGGAGCTCTGTCAGGGGCTCAGGAGGCTCTGGCCATTTTTGCTGCAATGCCTATTGTCCCTCTGGTCTCTTGAAAAGTAAATGTGCCTCCACAGGCATGTCCCTCCATCCCAGAGGGCCTCGGACAGTCAGGGACAGTCATGGATTCTTAGCTCCCAACACTCTGGCCGAAGGACACGTGACTCCTGGGGTTCTGCCTTTGACACTAGGGACCAAGGCCAGCCTGGTGGTGTCGGACCACGATGTCCCCACCCCAGCATGGAGTCCTCACGCGCCAGCCCTCAGAAGCCCACCCCTGCTCCCTCCTCTGCCTCGTTTGCTTGTGTGAAAGGTGCCCAGGGATGTCAGGTGTATCCTGCTCCCGGGGGACTGTCCCCCACACTCAGGTGAACTTCAGAAATGGGTGGAGCACCATTGGGTGCTCAGCCCAGCCACCGCACATGTGACCTTTAGTTACCTCATCAACTGGCTGCGTGACCTGCTAGAAAGCGTCAGTTTTTCAGAGTTGGCCTCAGCCTCACGTTCTTCACACATGGGAACTCGTCACAGCTGGTAGCAAGCCTTGCTGGTCACAGGCACCGACTCTGTGGCTGGAATCCCAGGCTCAAACCCCAGTTCAGCCACTCACTGGCCACGAGCCCACCATGCCTCAGTTTCCTCATAAGCAAAATGGGGACAACATGAGTTCCTGTCTCATAACACTGTCGTGCAAATGAAACGAGCTAAGCCCTTACACCAGTACGTGGCACATGGTGTGATATGAATTGTTAAATACACTTTTGAAATTTTAACATGCTGAACAAATGTCCCTGAAGAACTCAGAAGCCGGCTAACGGCTTGCTCCTCCAAACACGCCCTCCAAGCTATGGGGAGAAACAGCAGAATGAGTGACTCCTTTCAAGGTTGTCATACAACAGAGGTGGGGCCCTGACGAAGGCACGAAAGGCGGCTGGCGATTGCCACCCCCTGGCACATCCTGCACCGGTGTCGCTGTGAACAGCCCACGTGCAGACGTGCTCGCTGCTGCAGAGCTGCAGGCTGGCGCTGCCGTCCCGCTGGCGGGGCCTCTGCCTTCACAGGCCGGGCGCTGCTCCTGGAGAATATGGCCTCTGTGTGTCTGGAGTGGGCTCCAGGGCGGAGGAGGGGGTCAGTGTCACCATCAAATTCACAGTCGAAAAGCCACAGAGTCTCTATTCAGACGGCTTATAAGTGCCCCTCGCTTTCTTCCCCCCTGGTTCTTGGGTGTGAGGGTCTGCGTTGCTGGGCGAGGGGGCCTGGCTGGGGGCTTTCTGTCCTGCTTGTCACCTGGGACGATGACCAGCATCTCTGATGCTCTGCTTCTTCCCCAGCCTGGACCACCATCGTGGGCCTCTTCTACCACACGATGCACCACTACCTGACCAACATCCGGCCGGACAGCACCAAGTGAGTGTCGGGGGCGTGTGTGCTGCTTCACGGGTGGCCGGCGGGGGGTGTGCTGCTTCACGGGTGGCTGGCCAGCGTGATGCCCCGCCTCTCCACGTCACAGGCACGTACAGCACTGTGTCAGAGAACTCTCACCGTCAGGACATGCCACAGCCCTTTGAAAGAGACGCAGGGACTCCGACACTGGGGGTTCAGCAGGCCCCGGGGGTGGGCTGACAGTGCCCTGGTCAGGAACGCCGTCTGGGTCACCGTATCCACCCCGCCTGGAACTAACTGCGTGACCTTGGACACATGACTTAACTTCTCTGAGCCTCAGTTTCCAGTTCTTTAGACTGGAAAGATGGCGGCACAAGCCTACGTCAGTGAGGACTGTGTTGGGTCCATCAGCTTAAGCAGAAGGCCGGGGGACTGAGGGCTATTGGGTCTGAGAAGGGCAGGAGCAGCTGGCTTCAGGCACAGCTGGCTTCAGGCACAGCTGGCTTCAGGCACAGCTGGACCCAGGGACCCAGAGGCAGCTGTGTAGACTGGTCTCTCTGTCTCTTGCCGTCGCTCTCCCCTGTGTGGACTCATTTCCAAGAAGGCCCCCCCATAGAGACAGGGTTGGCTCTGGTGGCTTCAGGCCACGTGGGTTTGGGTCCTGAGATGTCTGAAGGATAGAAGCCTCTTTCCTGAATGCACCTGTGGAGACCCAGGGAGAGCTGTGATTGGTCTGTTTAGGTCATGTGCCCATCCTGGCCCCCCAATCATTGTGGCCAAGAGATCCTGCTCTCTCATTTGCCAGGCCTGCTCACATGACCCCTGATGCTTGGGGATGGGTCAGCCCTACTCAGACCTGGGGGGGGGGGCTGGTTCCCCGAAGGAGAGATTAGGGAGGCAGGAATATCATCAGGGAGGGGTCCCATTTTCCCTTTTCATGGGGTCCCTGGGATGGGCAAGGAGGCAGAGCCCAGGGCTTGTGCAGAGAAAGTGCAGGCAGGTGTGAGCTGAGAGACTTGTTTTCGTGGTCAGGGTTTGGAGGGTGAAGCTATTTCTGAGGGGCTCTGCAGAGGGCGGCTGGTGGCTCCCGCCTCTCTGGTCCCGGGCACCTGGCACCGCCTGGCCCAGAATAGGGGCTTGCAAAGGTGCCTGGAGAGAAAGCCATGCATCTCAGCATGAGCCTCACAGCCCTTCGCCCCAGCCTTGCTGAGGCTCCACTCCCCCACTGACGGAGAGGCCTGGGGAGCCGTGGGCAGGAGGGAGGGAGAGGGCGTTCCTGCGCGTGCCTGCCTCCCACCCACGCCCACGGGGTGGGGGGGGGAGCTGCGGGGTGTTCCAGGCGCTGGCGGCAGCTTGGTATTCAGATTCATCTGTGATGGGAAGCTGGCGGTGCTTTCCCCACCTACAGATAAATGGTATCTGACCCACCGTGCAAATGCCTGAGCCCTGACGTCATGTGTCTGTCAGTGACGCTCCTCTCCCGCTGCCTGGACCTGAGGGAGCCGTCTGGGGGGAGGGTGTGACACGAAAGGATGCTCTGCTTGTGGTTTTGCTATCGACCTGGCGGAAATGCCATCTCCTGGGCCTGACTGGCCTGGGAAAGCCTGCGCTCTGACAAGCTTCCTTCTAGCGGAAGAGAGGGGCTGCCTGTCACTCTTTGTGTGTGATTTCCAGAGGAAAATGCAACCTACTTTCCTCCAAAAGATGCCTTCTCAACTCCTTGGGGAAAATTTCTCCAAACCCAAGGTCGTGAATGAAAAGTGGACGCGACCTTGGCCCCCCTTTATTCATGTACAGCTCTGGCTTCTGAAGGTTCACATCTTTTAGTAAATGACATGTAACGTGCATTTATGAGGTGTAGCCGATCCCCGCTGAGGGTTAAGGGGAGGGGCACGCAGGAGCGTGGTGTCTGTGCCACCAGCAGCGTCTCCCCCTCTTCAGATAGAAGAGGAAAGAGGAGGCAAGACAGGTCACAGCTGGTCACGGCCGGTCACGGCCGTCCGCATGCGCGTGTCATGCCCTGGGACCAGGTAGGGCTGTCACTCTAGCCAGGTGTCAGCTGACTTTCTCATAAAGAGCCGGACATAAGGATTTTTGCAACATTGGCCACCATGTCTCTGTCACCACAGAGCTCTGTGCTGGAGATGTGAAAGCGGCCATGGATGGAGCTGGCTGTGTGCCGATAAAACTTTATTTACAAACCAGGCGGCCACCCAGGCTTCTAGTTCGTACACACCTGCTCGACCTGCCGCTATATTGGTGCAGCAGCAGTGGGCGGGGAGAGGCCGAGTGCCTGGCTCTGGGGAAGCAGCTCGGCAGATAGGGTCCCTCTGTCCCCTCAGCCATCCTCACCCCTGGAAGCCTCAGGACCCAAGCTGCCAGGACCTGGGTCACCACGGTCCACCCCTACCCCCGTCACTCTGAGCCTCACAGGCAGACCCCCCGTCCCAGCCCCTGCCATGAGCACCAGCGCCCAGCGACCCTGTGAACTCCACCAGCAGCAACTCTAAGTCCTTGGTGGACTTCCTGAAATCAAAACAGAATTATATCTCCATGATGAGAACACATTTTTCCTGTGTTGACTCTTCAGCGCAGGTGATGTTCTCAAGTCAGCACTTAATGCAAAGGTGTCTTATTGTCACATGAACCTTGAAGAAGCGTCACCCAAACCGCTCCCACGTGCCGTCCCTTGTCGGCTGGGTCCTCTCCTGCCACATAGAACAGGACAGAAGGGACAGTGGCGGGGCTGGCAAACAGCGCCGGGGTGCACAGTGCAGATTTGGGGGCCAGACGCCTGGCTTTCCCCAGCCAGCGGGCTTCCTGAGGGGCCGTGGGGACTTGGGCAGAAGCCTGTCGGCCTCTAGGCCTGTGCTTGCCCCTCTGGAATAGGGGTGATGATACTGATTTCTGAGGGTCACCAAGAGCACTGAGTGAGTTCACGGTTTAAATAAAGCTTGGCGCCCTTGACCGCGATGTAAGTGCTGGGAGGATGATTGGACGTTCCCGACATTCTGCCTGCAGGATAATTTCCAAATTCCATGCGTGATTAGAAGCCGATGAGCAGAGTCGCAGAGAGTGTCCCGGCGTCCCAGCTGCCTGCACAGCTGGTTCCCATCCATATTGTGCACTGTCATCCTCATGCATTTATGGTTTTTTTGTGAGAATGAAAGGATGCGGTGGAATCATGATGTCCTTTATGTCCCCCTGTGTGAGGATCTAAGTCAGCACGTGAGTTTCATGCTCAGGGAGCCGGCTCACACCGGACGAGCGCCCCAACCCCCGCCAAGCCCGGGTAGACAGCCCCAAGCAAAGACCGCCTGGGGGCAACGTCTGACCGTCCACAGGTCCTGGGTGGTGGTGGGCTTGGCCAGTTCCTGCTGGGCCACGTAGACACAGAGTTCCTTGGAGGCTCACGTTGTCTGGCCCACAGTGACGCGGACTGTTCCTCTCTCACTGATGCTCATGCTATGTCAGGCAAGCAACAGGGATGGCATTTCCTAAAAAGGGACCAGGAATCCCCCCGGCAGGGGGTCCAGAGTTACCCCTTCCACAGACGGAGAGCAGGGCGCAGCGGGGTACTGGGACTCAGAGGCACACACAGGGCTGTGACTCAGGCCACTGGTGTCGGCGTCTTGGTGTCATAGTCCCATGTGTGCCAGGAATAAGCCCCAGGAGGCTCGGACGTGGCCTGGGTGTCCAACCTGCTCTTAACGAGGATGCCCACCAGTCAAGGCAGAAGGAAGGAGTCAGCCCTCCATGTACCGCTGGCTCTGGCACCACCGGGCCCAGGCTGGGGGGCCAGCATGGCCCCTCACTGTCACCCCCAGGGTGCTCATGAATTGCACAGTGAGACAGGTTATTGCTAGTTTGTTTGGTGGCATTACACCATGCTGAGTTCAGCTGAGGTGCTGGGAGACCTGGCCAGTGGGAGACAGGTCTCAGCGGAGACCTTGTTGAGCTGAGAGGTGGCTTTGCTCTCTGGGGTCATAGGCAGGGAGGTCGTCCACCTGGGCGGCTCCATTGTTCTGCCGAGAGAGCTGGGCTCCATGTCACTGGGGACCAGACCTTTCTGTCTTTGGATCTGGCTTGGTCCCCAGTGACACTGAGCTAAACTTAACTTTCCTATTGCAGTGGCTGGGCCCTCTGAATTCTCAGGGGAGGTGACATCACCCCCCGGGGGTGGAAACTGGTTTTGGAGAAGCAGAATCTGAGCTATTAAAATGTCTGTGGCTCAGCCAAGGGGCCACAGGACAAAGCAGATTTCCTGTGTCTGTGGCCCTGAAATTTCCTGGGACGGGGCATTGATTAGGATAAAAACATCTAAAAAGTCTCCTTTGGGGGCTCAGAAACGCTGAGCTAGCATGGCACTTTCTTTTCTGTTTTAAATGTGTGTGAGTGATTCCGTGTGTGTCCTGGCCTTTGGCTTAGATCAGTGACATTTTCCTGCAGAAGAACAGTAAGGACAATCAGACGTGTTGGGGTTGAAGGGGCCTTCCTTTCAGAGGCTCCAGCGGCTCCTCGGGCTCCAATCTTGACGTCACTCACGGGCTCATGTAACCAGAGCCTCTTGTCCTGCAGACCACGCGCTTGGTGACGCTGTGTAGGGAATACCCTCCTGTCCTCGTGAAGGAAGGGCTAGCCCACCTGTTCCTTGTGCATTGTTTTTGTAAACATTTCATATCTACGGTTCCACAGTCATCCCACGTGCTTCTCGGAGGCCGGAGCCTTTTCAGGGACGTGTGTGAGGACACGTTGTGCAGAGGTGGCCGGGGGACGGGCTGCAAGGGCCCCACTGGCTGCATCCGGGGACGGCGTCCCTGAGGGCCACGTTGGACTTTGGTTATGGGGGGCAAAGTAGTGGAGGGAGGAAGCCGGTCATCTGTGGCCCCCAGACACCCGTGGGACGTCACAGGAGTGAACCCACCGAGCAGCAGTCCTCCCTGTCGGGCTTTGGAGAGTGAATAGGAGGCAGCCACAGTGCACACGAGGGACGAAAAAAGCGGGGGACTGGGCGACCGTGTGGGGACACTGAGTCCATGTCTCAGGCATTCTAGCACAGCCCATTCAAGCCCATGCAGCAAACGTTTGCTGGCGACCTACTGTGTGCCGCAGGGCTAGGATCAGGTGAGCAGGCAAGCGGGCACCTCGGGCAGTCATTCAGACAGGTGCCCACCTTGGAGTCATGCAGTGTGGCCCGTGCACCCCTTGAGTCCTGCACCTCAGCTTTCTTGTCTGCCTCCCCCTAGTCCTGGCCCTGAAAGTTGTGTCAAGGTCATCACTCCATGAGATAAGAGCCGTGCACACCAGTCAGGGTTTTCTGATGGATTACAAGTGCAAAAACCCAGCATTGCGTTTCAAACAAAAGGGAAGCGTAGTGGTTCTCGTAAGCGGAAAGGTACATGAGCACCCCGCTTCAGGAGCTGCTTGACCCAGTGTCCAGATGATGTCACCTGGCTCCATCAGCTCCCCCTTCCCAGCCGCCAGTCCCCTCATGGCTGTGAACCAGGACCTCACCCTTCAGGGCTGACGTGCAGCAGAGAGAAGTGACCACCTCAGAGCCAGCATTTTCCATCTGACTCTTGGCATCAACAACAGAGCACGTGGGCCGCAGGTGGGGGAAGCGGGTGTCACCTGGAGGGAAAGGAAGGGACCTCTATCAGGAGAAGAACAAGCGGATACTGGGCGGCAACACGCAGGTGTCCCCACACCGCGGTTTATCATAGCGCTGTCATGAGGGAGATTAAAGCTCAGACAGGGCAGGTCACTTGCCCAAGGTCACACAGCGTGGTAAGTGGGTTGCTGGCATTCAAACCCGTCCTTTTGACCTTCCTGCTGTCACACCCCCTGGGCCCTGTCCCAGTGCTTCTCCTACTAGATTACAAACGCCGTGAGGTCAGAGGTCAGGGCCCGTCTCCCCCGGTGGTGCCGGCAGGTTCCAAACATTAGAATTCAAGCTGTAGGATTAGAATCCCAGTAGCGGATGGGCACCAGCCCCCTCCCAGCCTGAGAGGGAGCAGTAGGCACTGACTGATGGGGATCGAGGTCCATCCGAGGGACCCCAGCCTCACACCCGCAGGCTTCCTGCACCTCCTAACCCAGGTTCTCACCGCACAGCCCCCTTTTCCACTGTGTAATGATTTTTCATTTGTTTTGTAGGATTGCCGAGGCAGCGAATTACAAGAGCTGCCTGCTGTCTGCTGCCAGCTCTCTCATCTCCCTGGAGGTCGCCCCGCCGCCCACGCTCTCCCAGAATTTATCGGGCTCCCCGCTCGTCACCGTCCATCTCAGGCACAAATTGGTGAGTTAAAGCGAGTTCGCCCTCGTTTCTGTCCTTTGATTTGGTTTTGCATCGAGGAGGATTGGTCGTCCGTGTGACTGTGTCGGGGTCTTCCGTGGCATGGGTGCTGGCCAGGTAGGCGTTTTTCTCTCCCGAGAGCTCCGTCTTGGGGAGCGTGTTTGAAGTGCAGTGGGAGGTCCCTCGGATGGCGTGGGGCTAGTCACACGGTTTGGGGTTTGGACGTTGGGTAAAAGGCCTCTAAGGCCACATCGTAGCTTTCAATGCTGTGTGTGGGTAGATGTTTCTGATTTATAATAAGTGTCCCTCTTGGAGGAGGGGATAAATAGCCACTCTCACTCACCTCTCTACTGGTCATTAGCAAGATGAAGCAGGTTTGCCAATCTCCACACACACTCCGTCTTTGTCGGGAGGTCAGATTGACAAACGTGCTGGGGACACAGACGTGCCACTGTGCTTTAGAAAAGGTACAGCTTTTCCTGTGTTGAGATTCCATCCTGAGATAATAGTGTTAATTCAACATCCAGAGGCCGTGGCTTTTCAAGGAATTTATTAAAGAACACGAATGTGGTCATTTGATGTCAAACTAAAGGTGTTTCCTGCCAGGATTTTCTGTTTCATTCCATTCCACCCTGCCCCATCCAATCCCCCCAACTGAAGACCTACTACATGCCATTAACTGAAGACCTACTACATGCCGACCACTGTGTTTGCTGCCTCTGTAGTCCACCCAGGTGTATCTTTTCTCAAAGGGGTCGACCCATGGGCTGCTGCGTGAGGTAGCGCCCATCCATCGCACCCTGCCCTGCTCCCCCTCCCCACAGCCTTCACCCCCCTTCCTGATCCTGGAGAAGCCAGCTCCGCCCACCCAGCCATCCACAGTTTGGCCTGCGTCCGTTGGTGCTTCCCCAGGCTGATCGGCGCCCAGACCTTGGCTGCTCCCCTTCCATTTTTCATTTTACAATCTTACAGGTTTGCAATCACGCTTTTGCACTGAGTGAGCTGTGCCTCTGTATTTTCCTGTTGTGAGAGGTGCAGCCGCTATTCTAGGTTCTCTGGAAAGTGTCTCCTTGCAGAAGGCCCCTCCCCAGGCCCGCTTCCCGTTGGCCATGTGAGGGACGGTGGGGTCTGCACACACGAGGTGCCTGACAAGTAACGCTGACAGTCAGGCACCCTCCCTGTCCCCTCCGGTGGCTTTGTGGGTGAGAGTACACTGTCACCTGTTGACCGCAGGTAACACAGATGGCACCTTACACAGTAATGATCTCGCTGCGGTTGTCGTGATCCAGATGGATAGCGGTCTGGGGGCCCAAAAGCCTAGCACCAGCCACCCCGAGTGACAGGGCGCCCTGCCCCAGAGCGGAGGCCGGGCAGGAGTGGATGCGGGCGGGTGTGCCTGGCTGTGTGACCTGGGTCTGTGCTGCAGGGAGGTGGAGGGTGGCTTCCAGTGGCTTCTGGCGCGCCGGCGAAGCAGCAGCAGATGAAATGGGTGTTCTGGGCTTTGTGGAAGCACCACTTTTTCCTTAAGAGCAGCCACCACTCAGCCTCCCAGACGTGAGAGGCTAAGGAGAGAGTGCTGGGAGACATGCCTGTGCTCATGGAGGCTGTGGGCAGGGGCCCTGCGACATGGCCGCCTCTGGTCCCTGATGCTTTCTTGTCGCTGGAGTGTCCTGCCAGGCCCAGGAGCCAGTGTAAGTGCCCGGGGAGGCCCGGCTTCCCACGCGCCCCTGGCTCCGGCCACAGCTGGACTCCGGGCGCTGCGGGCCTGGCTGCCATGGCAGGGCGCTTCCTGGAAGTCCGCGTTTCAGTCTCCGCTAAGTCACAAAGCTGCCAGTTTGGAAACCAGAGAAAAAGAAAGGGTGGGTTTAAATGCAACTCTGGGCTTAATGGTTGGTTGCTGTAGTTATTTTTGAAAAAGAAAGTTTCTGAGTAAAGACGGGTCCTGCAGGGGGGCGGAGGGGATGTTTATCATACCAGCGGGGACCGTAATTGAGGCCCTCCCAGCCAAGTGCTCCCCAGGGCTTTGGGGTTTTCCTTTGAAGGCTGAGTTTACATTTCTGAGGACGTTTTTTTTTGGAGGCTCACTTTTCTAAGTTAAAATGATTTCTCCGATGGGAAACTTTTGTCCGAGGAGAGCTCGGTGGGCCAAGTGGTGATGAGCGGGAGCTCAGAGGGCACACGTGTGTCCCCCATCCTTGTGTGTTGGGGGCTTGGGGAGAGGAGAGCGCCTGCAGCAGGCCTGTCTGACAGTGGGAAGGAGGCTTCTAGGCCCAAGGTTGGGGTGCCTGGTTTTCCTGGTATAGAGTGGGGTGCGAGCCCTGCAGAGTCCCAGGCCTGTCCTGGAGGTCCTTTAGAGGGCACCTAGTTAAACTATCGGCTGCCCCCCACCCGGCACCACGAAAGCCCACCAGAGGCGCTGCCCGTGTGTCTGGGACACGCGACCACGCTCGCTCCACTCCTAAGCACGTCTTGTCTGTCAGCTAATCCAATGGTCAGGCTGCAGAGGGCAAGTTGGAACGGGACATCCGTGAGCTCGGACTCTAGGACATGCTCTGTGACAAGGCGGGGGCCATGCCGAGGGGCCCAGTGCTCTCTGGGGGGCTGATGGGTTCATTAAGCCTCCCCTTCTGAGCTGACAGATCTTTTCTCCCCCAAAGTGCCTATTTTGATGTCTTGGGGTCACATTGGTCACAGAGTCAGCACACATATATCTTGCCAGCCAGGGCACTGACTGGACAAATGTCAGAAGTGGGCTCCACAGTGGCTCCCACGGGACCCACGGCCGTCCAGTGTCAATGTCGCCTCTGAACAGAACGAGGCTGAGACACGCGCAGGCACGCCGTGGGGCCCACGCTGGCCGCTGCCGTTCGCGTGTCTTTCGGGCACTGACCTCCCAGCTGACGTGGTTCTGGCTGTTCTCACCGTCGTCGTCAGCGAGACTCATCCACGTCAGCCTTCTCCATGCGGAATCTTCCCGGGGGCCGTCCTGTGCGTTTAGGGTGCGGAACGGCACCCCTGCCCACTATCCCCTCGATGATGGTAGCGCCTCCTCCCCAGCTATGACAGCCAAGTATGTCCCCAGATGGTGCCAGAGCCCCCGGCGACTCATGTTGAGAATCAGGGTGTGTGTGATTGCCGTGGCGACAGCCGGGTCCCCCATCGCTGTGAGAGTCCGGAATACGAATATAGATGCACAGCAGCTTACTGTCCATGAGTTGGTTGTCCCCGGTTTGGGACGATGCCCCATAGGCGCTTTTCTACGCTTCTTAAATTATAATATTCAGAACCAGGTGTAAGAGATGGGCAAGCGAGAGGACGATGTTGCCTTAAGGCCTGAGCCCTCCTGCCAGGGCTGTGGCGCGGAGCTGCTATTTTTCTAGGGTTTGTTGTGAATGAAGAAAGTTTTATTTTCTTCTTATGGTCATTCTTGGTACACCAGAGACCAAGAGTATACCTACGCTGTAGCCTGTTGTGCAAACCGTATGTATGGCTATTGAAAAAAACACATACATGCATACACATGCACGCACACGTTCACACATGAACACAGCGCATGCATGCACATGCATGCACATGTGTACACACTCGCACATCCACTCATGCGCACACATACACATTCACATGCACACACACATGCACATGTGCATTCACACACATTTACATGCACGCACACAGGCACACACATGCACACAAATGCACACACGCGCCCTGACACCCATATGTAGCTCTACATCATGTAAATTCCGTCCCCCCAGAGATAACCCATGTTGACACCCTGATGAGCTTCCTCCAGGAGTTTCTTAGGAGACCCGTGTGTGCTGCACATAGCTTCGGATCCGTGGGGTTATGCTGACCACGCTGTTGTACAGCTGCCATGTTTCCATTTACTCATCTGTGTCCCACGCTGATAACTGTAAACTATGTAACCGTTTCCATGGCTGCTTCATGTCCTCATCACCCTCCCGGTGCCACACCCTTAGTTTGTTTCACATCTTCATTGTCATAAGCAACGCTGGACTGGCCCTTCAGTGCTCCTGTTGGGTTGTCTCTTTAGGAAACCTTCTTACAGGTGCAAGAGCTTGGCTGCAAGCCTGCAGATTACTCTACCCATTTTAAATTTATTTTGGATGTTTAAGCCGGACCTACATTTCCTACCAAGGGAGCGAGCACTCACAGAAGGCCAGTGTTAGAACCTGGTGCTCACCTAACCCAGACAAACTTCTCATTTCCCCCGTTGTACAAGGAGGCGTCTTACTGGAGGACAACACACTTCCAGGAATCCGTGTGCAGGGCGACATTTCACAAAGTGCACATGCCCAGGAAATCAGCCCAGAACAAAGCTGCCTCCCAGCGCACCCTCCGGACACTGCCCATGGGTCAGGGTTGGGAGTGCCCGGCTGTGTTGCTCAGACCTATGCCTGCCACGTGGTGGTGTATGCACGCGCTTCTGCTTGGTGGGAGCCTAGGCGTTGCGAGGTCACAGGGTACCAGACGCTCAGCTTCAATAGGTAAAGGCAGCCGGTTTTCCGACGGCGGACACAGGTCACACGCCATCGTGTCTGAGAGTCCCAGCTGCTGGCACCTGGCGTTGTCTCTCGTTTCCAGTGCAGCCATCCTGGTAGTGGATAGTATCTCATTTGGGGTTTACTTACTTTTCTCTAATGTCTAAGGAGGTGGATCGCCTTTTTATAAGTTTACTGAACATTGTGATTCTCTTTTTTTTTTTTTGTCTATCCTATTCAAGTCTTTTGCCCATTTTTCTATGGGGTTGTCTGATTTTTTTTCTTCTTCTTTTTTAGGATTTCTTTACATACTGTTTTGGAAGTGAGTCATTTGTTGGCTCTGTGAATTGCAAATATCTTTTCCGACTGGGTCTCGCATTCCCACTGGTAGCGTGTCTCCTGATGAGCTGCTGCTTTCAGTTTTAATGCCACCCCTTCCGTCAAGGTCTTTCTTTGTGGCTGGTGGTTTTGGGGTTCCGGTCAAGATCTCACCTAACCCAA